CATTAAATTCCAGTGAAATATATTTATGTTTGTGGTTGTAATGTGACAAAATATGGAAAAGTTCAAGGGGTATGAATACTTTTGCAAACCACTGTAAAAACTAGATTTTTTGGGGGATCAATTATAATATGAGCAACATTGGCAATCCTGTAGTGAATTTCAGGCCCTGGAGTATATTAAAGCTGTTTAAAGACCTTCAACCCTTCAATAATACTATGAATGCTGCTTTTCATTCTGTCACAGGCTTCCTGCAGATCCTTAAAAAGTCTTAAAAGGCTTTGAATTCATTAATCCAAAAATAAGGCCTTAATTAGCCTTAAAATGTCTTAAATCAATCTTTCAGTGGTCTTAAAAATATTAACACATTGTAAGTCGGATGATTTGTCTCAAATATTAAAATAATTGGTAACATTTATTTTTTAAATATTTACGTGCAGACATTCCCCTTTGACATCACTTCCTGTTGCTTCACATGCAAATATCTCAACAGTCCATCTGAGCAGTGTGAAATTTGTTTTGTAATATGTTTATAATGTTGTCTTTCCAAAAATGTATTCATATTTCTTACAAACATTTGATGTCACAGACACTTTAAGGTTTCATCAACAGTAAGTTGGGGTTGAGAACCCACTGTGGGTCCTAAAACTACAAATGTTGGCTCGTTAGATGATTTCCAGGAAATAAATTAGGTTTAAAACTGACCGCCAAGAATGTTTCTGCTATATTTGACAAAAATGCATATGGATAAAAACAAATGGTCTTTTAGCAATATTTGAATAATTCAACCAAAAATACTTTGATTCATGAGTTTCTGACAGGCTTTATTTTATTGTCATTTGTGTTTATTTGTAAGAAATACGTGTTTTAATATCGGCTGACAATCAGATGAAAACACAAGTGTTAAATAAACTGATCTGCGATAGAAATAAATGTCATACAACACCAGAATTCTGGATCTGAATGAGGTTTATTTGTCACCGGACTGGCAAGCCAAACCACACTGAATGAAAAACAGGAAATCCCCGTTTAAATACAGTACACGATTCTTCAATGCCTGAGTTCGCCCTCTGCTGGCCTACGGCTGAATCACAGGCATTCAGACAAAAAAACCCTCACCCTAATGTTAACACAGCTTTTAATTATGTGTTGTTAATAATTCGGACATGTATCTACTCTATTTCAATTAACACATAATAGATCAAACATTATAAAAGTATTATAATAAGAAACCCCTACTACTCTGGTGTTGTTTCTGAAATCAGTACTGATCTGTAATAACTATAAATTTCTTCAATTGTAAAATTGTTCTTAAATTTCATTTTACTTGGCATTAAAAGTCTGAAATTTAACTGGCCTTAAACTGTAGGAACCCTGTGTCAATTATAGTATGACATGGTTAACTGTTTCCTTTTTTTCTGTTTTTCAGCTCAGCCAGCAGCAGGGCAGGCAGCTGCTCCTGGGACAGCAGCAGCAGCAGCGACCTCAGCAGCTGCTGCAGGTGGAGCTGCAGCTGGCGGTCAGCAGGACTACAGTGCAGCTTGGGCTGAGTATTACAGACAGCAGGCTGCTTATTATGGACAGGCAGGTCAGGCTCCTGGGCAAGCAGCTGCTCCACAGCCGGGACAACAGGTACCACCTGCATACTGAACCGTACAGCTACTAACGTGTCAGGATTGAGAAGTTTGGATTATTTAGTACTTTTTTATTTTTGTTTGTTTTTACGGAGTTCGTATATTGTAATATTTAGACTATTGGTACTGTATGATAAAATATTTGTAATTTCACATATTTGATTAGACATAAATTGGCATAAATGTTCTGTTGGTGAAGAAACAAATGGATGTCACTTCATTTCAGCTGGATGTAGAGTTACAAGTTTCTGGGAATTTTCAAATTTGGAAAATTTCTTTGTGAAACAGGAATTTTTAAAAATAAATATGGAATTTAAAATATTGAAAGCTTTACCGGGTATTTAAATTATAGCTTAGTAAACTATATTTTAGCATAATCTTGACTAAAACAATCAGATTTCATGCGAGTACACTTCAGTATATCTATCGTTGTGTTCATATTACAACAACTTTTTTTGTCATTCATGTTCTAATGTAGGGATGTCCCGATCCAGATTTTTTTGGCTCTCGATACAATCTGATTTTTTTTTTTAAATGATTAGTCTTTCTGATACCGATCCGATAGCGTTATTTTTATTTCTTTCCAAGTGACAAGGTTGGTAGTATTAAAGCGAGCCCTGCTGTCCCCACCACGAGACACATCCAGTTTGCAGATTTTGCAACGTGCAGTTTCAGCATCATTGTTTTCCATTGAAAACAATGATGGACATGGTTGCATACTTGTGCGTCTTGACTTCTTAACGGCAGCTGTAAAGCATGATGATGCTGAAAACTGTCGTGAAAACTGGGCCCGATCACGACTAAATCTGATTCTACCCGATTTTCAAAAAAATAGCCATATCTGCCACCGATACTGATCGGGACATCCCTAGTTCTAATTTAAATTCGACCATCATCAGACTCCCGTGTAAACACATCACGCTGTGATTGCAGAAATAAATATGTGTAACATCCATCTATCTATTTAGGTGCAGAATTGTATTCCTGGAACAGGAGTGATGTATTAAAAGTAGAGAAGAGAAAGAAACTCTAACATCTATCCCATCACGCTAGTATCGATTAAGACTGCAACAACAAATCGATAAAAATCGATAATTAAAAGCATTGGCAATGAATTTCATTATCGATTTGTTGTGTCACGGGATTTATGCGTCCCTCGCCGTGTCGTGGAGCCGATTATGTCACCCGCAGACCGTTGTCAATGCTGGCTGACCTAAATAAAGTTTGGGAAGAAAGAAAAAACTACCTGATTAATCTAAAAAATAATCAACCGATTAATCGATTATTAAAATAATCGTTAGTTGCAGCCCTCGTATTGATCGATCTGACACCAGCGTTAAAATCATGTTTGTGTAAACCAAGATATGACACGTTAAATGAAAAAAAAGAAGCAACTTGGATTCTGTTTTAAAACTGAGGATATGCAGAGTTCCAAGCTTTACATTGCATGATGTTGATATAGATAATATTTGTATCAATCCGTGTACCCAACCTCTAGATCAGTGTTTCCCAAAGTTGGGGTCGGGACCCAAAGTGGGGTCCCGAAACATCAAGGTGGGGTCCTGAAAAGGTTTTCGGAATT